ACACCGTCCTCGTCGTTACGTCGACTCTGTTACTCACGAGTCCGTACTCCGTAGTTCGTCGCGTTGGTTGATCGCGACGCGACCGAGGCCGCGCACGGGAGCAAAACTCGTTGAGGGAAAAGGGTAAAGATAACTCCAAAAAAAAAAAAAGGAATGAAATGAAAGGGAGAACTGAAAAGAGAATCAACGAGAAGACATAACGAGAGAACGTAAGGAAGCGAGGCTTCGGTCGCGCGCACGGCCGAGGGAAAAAAAAAGAGAGCAGCTCGCGACGTCGCGAGGTGATATCGCAAGAGAAGCCCTGGGAGGGAGGGGAAGGGCACAGGTAAAAGGGTAAAAATCGGGGGACGGTTGTTCGGATTCATGTCGGAGGAACGTCGTCGATGGAAAGGAGAAGGGGACGGGGGAGGAAGGACGAGGGGAAGCAAAGATCGGGAGGAAAGGGCGGTCGAGAAGGGCCGCGCTCTCACTCGCTCGCGTTCGCCGTCCCGACGCATCTCGCATTCCGGCGATTCTCCGCCGTGGCAAAACCGCCCGTGAATTTGTCGCGATCTGTCTGTAAATTTTCTGGTAAAAAGAGATTTATCGCGCGGGCCCCGCGAGACGATCCTCCGCCGAAATGCGTCGAATGCGAGAGCGTCGGCGAGGCGAGGTACGCACCTGCACTTATATAAGATCGCTTCTTTGCGCTCTCCATAAAATTCGTCGTTAGACAGAAATGAAATTAACAAATCGCTAGAAACAATCTTACAGAAACGTAGATCGGGGGGCGGAGGGGTCGCGTCACACGCGACCGTCTCCCTCCTTCGCGTGTAACATATTTATATATATATATAATATGTAATATATATGTATATAATATTCTCTGATCTATCTTTTTTTGTGTGTGTGTGTGTGTGGTATATGTTGTCTTTCACCTCGGACGCGCAGACGCGCCTTCCTGAAGCGGAAGTCCGCCGAAGGTCCGGCGACACACGGGGGGAACGGGGCGTCTCGCGTCCGAGCGGGACAACGAGCGTCGTACTCCGAAGTCCGAAGGCGGCTGTCGCGCGATCGCCCGTGGCGCTTTTAATTTACAGACGCAGAGAGCTCGCCGGATCTCTCGATCCTGCCGATCAGCCTCCCCCGATTGCGGTCAATAGCTGCGGACAGACTCACAGACGTTAAATGTAATCGACGGATCCGCCGCGCGCGGATCGCGATTTCGTCCCTCGAGACGCTACTCGCCGAAGGGCAGCGGAAGGGACCGCCGCTGCGACCCTTCGCTTTTACTATTATTTTCTTCTTTTTTTTTTTCGCACTATCCATCTGCTCGCATTTTTCACACATGCACATACACACACGCTGTCCGTCGAACGCATTCTCTCCGTCTCTCGTCGCCGCTGCACCTCTTCTCGCATTCGTATTGCTCGTCGCTACTTTTGTTTTTCTTGTCTCTCAAACTCGCGGCGCAGCCATGCCTCTCCCGTACTTACAGATCCTCTCTCACGCACGCACAACTCGCAGACCCTCGCGTTCACAACTCGTGGATCCTTGTGATCGAGCTCGATCGTCCGTCCTTTCTTTGGAAGACTCGCGCGTCGTTCCTCCGATCGCGAAAGCGTAAACGTGCGAATCTAAGTAAGACAATTGCGGACAGTCGCCCGGCATTTTCGTGCGCTTTGGAGAAACCCTGATATTAAGATACGCGAACGTAAAAAACGGACTGGCGACTCTATCCTGATCGAAGGCACAAAATCCTTGCCGGACCGAGATGCGCGCAATTTTGCGCGGTGAAACCGAGCGCGAGCAGAAGCCGATCGCACGAGTGTTCCAAAAGAAAAGAAAGACGAGCTTGCGCGACCCGACATTCGACGACGATCTCTCGACCATAAATATATATCCCTGTGTAGCAGTTAAATATATAATATATATATATAATATATATGTGTAAAACATTACATGCTGCATAAGAAAAATTATTAGTTTCCTATTCTGCATATCGCATATTTCGCGCGGAGATACGCGGTACGTGTGATGTGTATGCGTTAATTTGAGGTCTCCACTCTTCTCTCTCTCTCTCAGTCTCTCTCGCTTTCTCTCCCTCCCTTTCTCTCCCTCTCATTCTCTCACTTTTCACCGCATGCTCACTCAAACCGATTATTTCCTATTACACGTTCACACTCGACTCAATATTATCTCCAAAATTTTTCCATAAAATCTCATAATTTCTTTTTTCCCCTCTCGTTCGCCACGTGTTTTATAACGATAGGACACTGGCCTCTTATATCATTTGGCCGGCCGTGTCATCATCCGCACCGTTGACTCGGAAAAGAAAGAAAAAAATCGCTATCGGAAACCCGAAAAAATTCGGCGGGGCCCCGCTAAATGATTTACGTTATTTCTCCTCTCTCAACTTCGTCTTCTTGCGTCCTTCCCTCCCTCCTTTCGTTTGGCCGTGACGCGATTTACTACTATTGTAAAAGACTGGCGCATCGTATCTTATCCCGCGCTATATACTTTCCTCGATTATAAAATTTTTCATCGGTGCAAGATCAATAATATGATAAATAACATGATGAATAAGAGCATTTTTCTTTTTTTTTTTTTAAACCTTGTGCTGCCCTAACATATCCCACACAATATCAAATGCGCGATATATCAGAACGATTGAGGCGTTGAGAGCGTGCAAAAGAAACGCATTCTTAGTAAAAATAAAAGCTAACGTTTATATTGAGACTCCTCGCTACGATATCGGCGGCACTCAACTTAAAATTCTTCTTTTCAAGCTGTCACATACCTAATATCCGTTCTCAGCGCCCCAATGAAGAGTTAATATCCTATTATCATACGGAAACTCGTAAAACGTAAATCGGTATAATATGTATATTCCTGACAATTGTGTATTCTTATTCGATATACGATAAACGACCTCGCGTTTAACATTATCACGTAGAAAGCAAGCTTCTAAGCCGAATTGTTGAACTTGATTTTTTTTTCCTTAGAGCGTCAAAGGGTCACGCTCGACTTACAGTTTTAAACCTACACTTTATTTATTTTCTTCAATTCTCTTTTAACGTCTCCGTGAGTGCACAACGGGTATTATACCGTGGCCTACGAAAATTTGCGTAATTACATCGCCCGGGCGCGGGCATAGAGGCTCTCTGTGCGAAGCGCGATATCACGTTATCCCATTTTTCGCCGTCCCGAAATTCTCTAATTCACGTGAGAAGCCAAAACATATGAAGGCATTATTACTCGTACACGCGTAAAACACAAGGCTAAGGACGCAGTTGGAATCTGTTTAAACCTCAAACACGGATTCGCGCGCGAATATTACTAGTTTATTAAACCTCTTTTTCTCTTTTTCATTCCCCCCTCCCTCCCTACACCCCTTTGCTGAATCAGTCACTCACGCATTCTCTCCCAATCTCTCTCTCTCTCTCTCTCTCTCTCTCTCTCTCTCTCTCTCTCTCTCTCTCTCTCTCTC